CAAATTGTCGGGCCGTTGGTTTTGTGAGTGACTCACTAACATACACAAAGCCTTAAGGTTAAAAATCCCCTAACGCAGCTATTAGAATGATAGACAGCTGTTGCTGAAGGGCAGATATTTCCATAATCAACGTCATCAAACATTTCTTTTAATAAAGTAATTTGTTTGCTAACTTTAAGACCGAAAATCTCTAAACGAATAAAAAAATTTGGAATGAGCAGCTCACTTCTAGAAAAGTTATATTACTCTTTTAAGTAAAGTGGTTTTATGAGAGTGTAAACAGGAATGAAATAATTTAACTCATGTCTGAGATGCTATCTATATATTTCAAATCATGGCCAAAGGTGTTGGCCATGGCATCATATGATGATATTCGATTTTCAAAAAAAAAACGAGTTGCTCCACTTTTTGACCAAAACCAGGGAACTGGGGTTTTTCTTCTGATCAAAGCCTAGTTCCATTAGGCTATTTGTGAAGCAGGTCTCAGTTGTCTAGCGATTATATAAAGAAGTGTTCATATGCCGAATAGCATTATAAGCATTGAATTTCAGGACGCTAGTCACGGGAATCGGGTTTGTTTATGAAAAGGCACTTGACTACATGAACTATTTTTCCCATTTCACATTGGTTTCTGAGCTTATTTTATGATAAAAATTCCCAAACTGATGTTTTGAATGATATAATGGTATAGTTAGTAACAAAAGTTGATATTGCTATATTTTGAATGTTAGACTAGTTGGTTATCTCCAGTCTCCTTTGTATTCAACTTATAAAAACTTACAAGAAACATCGAAGAGTTTGAACATGAAACGTTCGTATTCATCAAACCACTTTCGCTCATTATTATTCTTAGATTTTCTCAAAAGATTGATCCATTCATCGATCGAAATCAGCTGATCCTACAAATTAAAGATTAGCCACATTAGGGACCACAAGAATTGGTGCATACCTTATCAGCATCCGCGAGTTTACACAGACCTTCCCATAGGGCTGCCAGCGTCTTCTTGGCGTATTCGGTTTGCATGCTTTCTGCTCCGTAGATATCTCTCACCTTCTAAAAAGCTACTGGTCATTGGGAAAAAATTCTTTTATTCTTCTCAACCTTCAAGCAGAAGAAAGCGTGCCTTTCTTAACAAAATAGCTACTTTGTAACGTGACAATTTCCCTTTCTGCAGTAAAACTGCTTTCAAATTCAATTCGAGTATCGGTGCATCCATGGTTTTATGAATTTTTCCAGCTTTAATATTCGACAAACACTCTTAACTCTGTCAGAAAGAGCAAAAAATGCGAAACCTACCCTTACGACGAGGTAAAAGTCTCCCCAGTCAACTTGGTGAGAGGCGTTGCGATCTGAAAACAAGATGGGTAGCTAAATACTGAGAAGAATTCTACTAATTTTTTATTCAAGCGAATTATTATGAAGAAGGATTAATCTTTAATAATTCTACTACTAACCAATTGTTTGCCTTGGGGGATTCCTTTAGCTAAGACCGTTTGAAATTGAAAGTTATACGAATCATTCTCCTTAGTAACTTTTGCTCAACTTTTTAGGCTTATTCATGAGCATTTCCGTGGCACAACTCTACTATGAGGGATGTCAAGGCATATTGAGTTACCCTTGTTTTATGGTGGTATTATCAGATCCAAAAACAAGCCCATTTTCAAAATATTGAGCATTCTTTAGAACTCCTGTTCAATTTTCGCGCTAACATCTCTCCTGATTGGATAAAACATTTGGAATGCGATGGAAAACGAGTATATGTAAGGGTCATATAAAACCAATAAGGAAACACTTAGAAACCAAGGTAACCTTTCACATTAAGTTGAATGCTTACAAATACAACGTGTAAAACACCATTATTTGCCTACGGTCTCTTAGAA